ACTGGACCAAAATTTCCTCTTAATGCCTAAGAGTAAAACTTGCTCTAGGTAAAGACTGACTTGCACATGTGGAGGTAATGGGAGTTGGGAGGACATAGCAGTGGGTAGCAGGGGAGTATGAGTGAGCAGAGGAAGTGGGGAGAAATTAAAATGCTGTATCACGAATGGCATTTGGAAACCAGGTCAGTCAATTTAGACAGACTTTTTCCTGAGTGGAGTCATTGAAGGTTTTTAACCAGGGGAGTAGTGTGATCAGTTTGGGGGAGAAAAGGGAAAGGGATAGGGTAAGCATCCGAATGAGAGATGATGATAACCCACATTACCAGTAGTGTGGAGAGTGGGGATGGAGAGAATTGAGTGACCTGGGGAATGTTCCAGTAGTAATGAGTTGCTGCAGAGGGAGTAGTAATAAGAAGGACATTAGCAGTTTTTCAACTGTCCTTTAGTGGTTTAAAACCACACAAAGAAAAATCTTATCCTGGATCACTACAACATGAATGGAGGTGCTTAAAACGAACAACATTCTATTGGGGACCCAAGAGTTTAAATTAAAAACAAAGACAAACAGCCCTGGCTGTTTCGGCTCAACGGTTAGAGTGTCGGCCTGCGGTCCAGAGAGACCTGGGTTCGGTTCCCACTAAGGGCCACCTCGGTTGCAGTTTGTCCCTGGCCCTGGTTGGTCGTGCAGGTAGCAGCCACTCGATGTGTCCCTTTTACTTCGATGTTTCTCTCTCTCTTCCTCTCTCTCCCTCCCACTCTATCTGAACAAAAAATGGAAAAAAATATCCTCAGGTGAGGATGAAAAAAAAACAAAGACAAACAAACAAAAACACCCTGAGACTGGACTTTAGCAATTCTGGCATCCATTACAAAATGCATGTTTGATGAAGACAACTAGTGTAACCTCAGACCAGTCTGTTAATTTCTCTCAAATAGCTTAATTTTCCAACAGATACAGTACATTCTCCCACTCAGTAGGCACTATAGGAAATCCAAAGTCCCACACTAAAAGTTCACTACCCACAAGGAAAATGCTGTAGACCATTTTCCAGACAGCAGGAAGGGAGAAGAGAAAATGGATGTCAAGCAGCTTCTCTTTTAAAGGACATAGTCCACTTCTACTCACAAGGAACATGGGTTAGTGGAGAAGGGGACTCAGTTTCCAAGCGGAATGAGAAAAGTGCCATTTATCCCTATAAGGACTTTAGAGTGCAAGGAAATGGCAAAAACATGAGAAGAATACACGTTCACAAAAGCTTAGATGCAATAGGAAGAATTTTTTTTTCTTTATTGATTTTAGAGAGAAAGGAAAGGAGAGGGAGAGAGAGATAGAAACATCAATGAGAGAGAACATCAACTGACCACCTCCTGCATGCCCCCCACTGGGGATTTGGCTCACAACCTGGGCATGTGCCCTAACTCGGTGAACCGGTGACCTCTTGGTACATGGCCCAACGCTCAACCACTGAGCCACACCGGCCGAGCAATAGGAAGGATATTAGCTGGAGGGGAGTAGAGAGTAGAGAAAGATTGTTTTAAAATTTATTTAACAGATTTTTATTGAGCACATGCCTTTTACTATTCACTCTTTTAGGTCCTGGAGAGTTACCAGAGATTAAAGCAGACAGAGCTGCCCTGGCCGGTTTGGTTCAGCGGTTAGAGCGTCCACCTGCGGTCCGGAGAGGCCCGGGTTCGGTTCCCGCTAAGGGCATGTACCTCGGTTGCAGTTTGTCCCCGGCCCTGGTTGGTCGTGCGGGTGGCAGCCACTCGATGTGTCCCTTTCACATCGATGTTTCCCTCTCTCTCTCTTCCTCTCTCTCCCTCCCACTCTGTCTGTACACAAAAATGGAAAAATGTCCTCGGATGAGGATTAAAAAAATAATAATAAAGCAGACAGAGCTATGCATTAGTTAGAGAATGACAAACAGGTCCAAATAAACAGTAATTTTTAATCCTTACCTGAAGATATGTTTCCAATGATTTTTTATTTTATTTTTTTTATTTATTTATTTTTATCCTCATCCGAGGACATTTTTCCATTTTTTGTACAGACAGAGTGGGAGGGAGAGAGAGGAAGAGAGAGAGAGAGAGGGAAACATCGATGTGAAAGGGACACATCGAGTGGCTGCCACCCGCACGACCAACCAGGGCCGGGGACAAACTGCAACCGAGGTACGTGCCCTCAGCGGGAACCGAACCCGGGTCTCTCCGGACCGCAGGCGGACACTCTAACCGCTGAGCCAAACCGGCCAGGGCTCCAATGATTTTTTAAAAGATAGAGTGGAATAGAGGGAGGGAGGGAGGGATGGAGAGAGAGAGAAAGAAACATCGATGTGAGATGCCTCCCACATGACCCTGGATTAGGGCCAGTGATTGAACCTGCAACCCAGATGTGTGCCCTTGACCAGGAATCAAACCCTCAACCCTCTGGTCTGTGGGCCGACACTATAACTGCTGAGCCAAACGGTCTATGGCCAAATAGTAATTTTTAAAAGAACACAGTTTTTTTCTCTTTTGTAATTGCCCAGAAAGCTGTGATTGATCCTAAGGAGGTACCTCAGCTCCCTCTTACTTAGACTAATGGGCTGTTTTGTCTTCCTTAATACGTGGCTTCCAACTCTAGCCTATGTTTCTTTTTGCCGTTTACCAGACAGCAGGAAGGAAGTGGATGGCAAACAGCTTTTCTTTGAAGGGACATAATGTAGTTCTGCTCACACATCACTGGTCACTTTTTGATATAGCCAAACAAGCTAAAAGGAAGGCCAAGGAATTGTCATCTCTAACTGGGTCACCAGGTACCTTGCTAACAGTGGGGGGTGGTGAGATAACAGAATGCAAACTGGTGACGTGGAGCATGTGTTCTAGAAAGGGAAGACAGCTAGAGGAAAGCAAAGAGCAGTTTTGGTGGAGTGATGGGCACGCAGTGCTGAGTGGAGTGGATCGGAGGAAGACAGGAAAATGTGGGGTTAGAGAGAGTGAGTATGGTCCTCCCCTTTGAGGAGAAAAGTGGGAGTGACTTGAAGGTAGGTAGAAGGTGAAGAAGGAGTATAAATGGAGAGGTTGAAGACACATGGAAGAGGAGAAAATTTATAGTGTAAGGTCCTAGGAGAGGAAAAACATACAGGGTCCTCTTCCTCTATGTCAGCTAGAAGAAGGTAAGGATGGGTGTGAATGAGGATGCTGGAGAATGGAAAAATAAACCAGCAGAGGCTGTGGGAATTCTAATAGTTGCAATTTTCTTTCTGAAGTAAGAAGTAAAGCCATTTCCTGAAAATGGTAGGAGTGGATAAGGAAGAGGCTTGTATTGATCTGAGGTTGCATGTATGGATTTGGGGCCAGAGCCAAAACCATTGAGAAGGTTTGCAAGATAGTATTTGGAGTGATGATTCTTGTGGTACCACCTCTCAGTAGTACAGCACTTTCTTCAGCCTCCACTTCTCCAGTGGCAGAAGTGAAACTGAGCCTCAGACCTCCACAGGAAATACTTTCTTTTTTTTTTTCATCCTCACCAGAGGACATTTTTCCATTTTTTGCACAGATAGAGTGGGAGGGAGAGAGAGAAACATCGACGTGAAAGGGACACATTGAGTGGCTGCCACCCGCACGACCAACCAGGGCCAGGGACAAACTGCAACCGAGGTACATACCCTTAGTGGGAACCGAACCCGGGTCTCCCCGGACCGCAGGACGACGCTCTAACCGCTGAGCCAAACCGGCCAGGGCCACAGGAAATACTTTCCCCCAAGCTCACCCTCTTATCAAAACTATCTGCCTCGAAGGTCATCAGAACTAAGTTCATTTTTATCAGTTACAGGAGCCCAACACCATCCATTTGTAAGCAGTAACAAAGATTGCCTGACAGCTGAAGAAAGCCTCTGTTTCAGATCTGTAACCTGTGCAGCACCATTCACTCAGTGATGGGAGCCAGAAATCTAGAGTCCTCTTTCTCTCTCACTCACTTAATCCATCATCCCACCTTGTAAATATTCCCCAGGCCACACAATTCTCTCCATCCCCACTCTCCACACTACTGGTAATGTGGGTTATCATCATCTCTCATTCGGATGCTTACCCGATCCCTTTCCCTTTTCTCCCCCAAACTGATCACACTACTTCCCCAGTTAAAAACCTTCAATGACTCCATTCAGGAAAAAGTCTGTCTAAAATGACTGACTTGGTTTGCAAATGCCTTTCTGATACAGCATTTTAATCTCTCTGCACTTCCTTCTTCTGCTCACTCATCCATACTCTACTGCTACCCACTGCTATGCCCTCCCTCCTGACCCTGCACTAGCTCTTTCTCCACCCAAGAGGGCTCTTCTCTTCCAACCCTCTCTGTCCTGTTCCAGGTCAATCCCATATTCGTCCTTCATATTTCAGCCTAGAAAGCATTATGACCCTCCAACACTAAGGGGCACCCCTCCTGTGGAGTACTGTATTCCCCAAAGAGGCATCACTCTAACTGCCTGCTTTCTGCCGGGTCCATGTCTTTTCCGTTCACTCCAGTGTCCCCAGCATCCGTGCCAGGTACACCATGGACATTCAAGACTTGTTTGTGGAATGAGAAAATGAATAAATCGGGAACCAAATAGCCTGGCCTTTCTACTACATCGATCGTCATTAATTTTAATGCAAATCGAAACTGATCAAATGAACTAAAGCGTATGAAGTGCCTAAAACGATAAACGCAGCCCTCAGAAAGCCGCCCGGTCCTCTAGCTCGGGATCCCGGCTTCGAGCTCCAGGGATGGAGCCTTCAGGAGCCAACCTGGGCACCGGGGGGGGCGGGGCCTCCTGGGCAGTGACCCCGCCCCGGGGCGGGGCGACTCCCCGGCTCGCGGAGGGGCGGGGCTCGCGGGCAGGGAACTCCCTTTCCGAGCCCGAGGCGTGGCCGCTCGTCGCGGAGGCGCGGCGGGGGGTCGTGGACCCCGGCCGGGTGGGCCCGAGTTGCTGGCTGCGCCGCCATCTTGCCCGTGTCGGGTGTCCCGCGGCGGGAGCGGCGGCCACTAGGCCGGAAGCGGCTGTGCGGCGGCCGCGCTGCCTCCTCGGGTCGGTGAGTGCGGCCCGGGCCGCGTCTCCGCTCTCTCGAAAGGGAGGTCACAGTCGTGGACGCCGGAGCGCGTGGGAAGGCCCGGGCGGGGGCGGGCCCGCGGCCTCCTCGGAGCCCTGGCGCGGGGAGCAGGTTCGCGCTGCGGGAACCGCGCGGGGCTGCGGAGGGAGCCTCGGAGCGGCGGGCGGCCCGAGGGCGCGCGGGGACTTCCTGCCCGGCGCTGGGGCCGCGCTGCAGCCTTGGTCGCGGCGGGTTGTGCGGAACTGCGTCGCCGGCTTGGACCCGAGGCTCCGCCAGGTGCCGCGAGCCGTGGGAGTCGCCCTCAGATTCCTGGTTTCCCCGGAATAGCAACAAGCCCAGCGCGGGTGGTGCCCTATCAGATACTCCTTAAAGGGCCTGTCGCCGGCTGGCTCTGTTCTCCGCGTGTAGGAGTGGAAATTCCACAAGGGGATAAATAAAACCTCTCAAGTCAGTCGCGAGCATTGCTGAATTGCCTAGCAAACCACGGCCTCTGCAGGTCTTTTGTATAACTTTAAGGGTAATTTGCATAAAGATACAGTGCATCTCCTTGAAGATGGTGATGGTTGGAGTTTCTTGAAACTGCTGTTGTTGTTTTTGGTCAAGGTAAAAAAAAAAAAGTAGAAAATGACCAACAACAAAAAAATAGATGTGAAAGGGTGATTGGCTACCTTGTACCCTTAGTATTGTAGATCTCCACAGTACAGTGGGGTTGAAATGTGCTGTTAGTGTAAAATACACATTGGATTTCCTAACTGGTACTAAAAGTAAAAGAGCCTCAATAATTTTTGCACTGATTACATGTCAGGTTAAATAACACATTATTAAATTTAATTCTATCTCTCTCTTTTCATTTTTCTATCTTGGCTACTAGAAAATTTTACATCATCTGGTTCACCCTGTCTTTCTATTGGACAGTGCTGTTACAGACCTTGTGGTGAGGAACACAGAAGCAACATCCATGACTTTCCTTTGCTCAGACACCGTTGATGGGAAGTGAGAACTCGACTTGCTAAACTTGAAGGTGAGGATCTAAATGTAAGCTGTAATTATTACAGATTCCACCCATTACACCCCCAATTTTTCAGTGTCTCCAACATTTATTTATTTTAAATATGTCTTTATTGATTATTTAGAAAGAGGAAGGGAGAGAGAGAGAGAGAGAGAGAGAGAAACATGGATGTGAAAAACATCCATCAACTGCCTCCTGCACGCCCCCTACTGGGGATGGAGCCAGCAACCAGGGCATGTGCCCTGACCGGGAATGGAACCGGGACCTCTTAAGTCCATGGGATGGCGCTCAACCCACTGAGCCACACCAGCCGTGCAATGTCTCCAACATTTAAAAACATTAAATTCGCCCTGGCTGGTGTGGTTCAGTGGTTGGAGTGTTGGCCTGCGGTCCAGAGAGACCCGGGTTCGGTTCCCGCTAAGGGCGTGTATTTCAGTTGCAGTTTGTCACTGGCCTGGTTGGTCATGTGGGTGGCAGCCACTCTGTCCCTTTCATATCGATGTTTCTCTCTCTCTTTCTCTTCCTCTCTCTCCCTCCCACTTTATCTGAACAAAAATGGAAAAATGTCCTCGGGTGAGGATAAAAAACAAACAAAAAAAAACATTAAATTCCAAACATTAAATTCCAGGGTTAAGTCCGGGATCATAGTGATACTAAATCTGTGTGATGTGAAGAACTTAATTGTCACAAGTTTCTGAGATGTAGATAGCCTAGGCTCTGTCTCCATTTTACAGCCTTGGATATCAAGGGACTTATTAGGGTCTAGCTAGTGAGTAGCTGGAGGTATTCTGACTCCAGGTTCAGTTTTCTTTGTTCTCCACCATATTCCTATTGATCTGTGTTCATGAGCCAGATTCCATGTATATTGTGTGTTGGATTATAAAGAAAAACATTTTTAAAGGGATTGCTTTTAGATGTACTTCTCTGTTCAGGGCCAGCTTCACAGTATGCAACTGTGAGTCGCACAAGGCCCATCGTTTAGAAGGACTGGTACTTGGTTCAGTGCTCTGCTGTCACCTTAATTTTTTAACAAGGGAGACTCAGTATTTTCGTTTTGAGCTGGGCCCTGCCAATGATGTAGCTGATTTTCCTCTGTGCAGTAATCTAGAATGGGAGTTGGGAGGTGTTGGACAAGAACCAAAACATCTGGTCTTCACTTTACTTCTATTTGAAATGAGAAGGGTTTGTTAGTCTCTAACTCTGAAGTTCTTTGATTCTGTATGAGTTACTGTAATCAGATTTTGTGGATAATATAAGTATTTTGCATGCATAACATCAAAGGAATGCTGATGATGCTCCATTGAGTGTCATGTAAATCAAATAGTTTTTTAATTACGGTAACACTTTCTATTTGTTGTTTAAGATGGATTTTTGCATGTGGCACTAAATTTTCTTACCATATATCTGTCATTCATGTAAAGAGTATGGTTGTGGGATGAAAGCTTGGATAAAAAGTATGCTTATTTAAGCAATTATTTTTCAGTGAAATAAGATGGGCCAAATCTCAGGATACCTCCAATTTAGAGGTTTCCACTTTTAGGGCATGAGTATGAACCATTACTTGACAGTATCTGTTCCTTTTTTGTTGTTGTCTTAGTTACTTGTTGTTTATTACATTAGGTGCCTCTCTTTCCTTCTCATTCTCAAATTTTTAAAGTCTCTAAGTTTGGACATAACTTCAACACTAGAACACAGTCTTGCTTAGGCTGCCATAACAAAATACCGTAGACTGAGTAGCTTAAACAACAGAAGTAACTTTTTTCTGTAGTTTGGGAGACTGGAAGTCTGAGATCACGGTGCCAGCGTGGTCCAGTTCTGGTAAGAGCTCTCTTCCTGGCTTGCAGATAGCTGCCTTCTCGCTGTGTCTCGCATGGTGGGGGGAGAGTTTTATAAGGGCACCAGTTTGACCAGGCTCTACCCTTATGACCTCATTTAAGGCTCCACCCTTATGACCTCATTTCAAGGCTCTATCTCCAATACAATCAAATGGGGGATTAGGACTTTAGCATGTGAATATTGGGGGGACACAATCCAGTTCATGGCAACCAGGGACCTTATCTGTCCCTGTTAACTACTGTGTTCATAGCATTTAGAACAGTGTCTAGAACATAGAAAATGCCCAATAAATATTTATAGAATAAATGAAAGACAGTGTATTAGAGTGATCCTCTCTTAGGATGGCTTACTCTGGGCTCTTGCCCATCATTGGAATAGTTGTGACAGTGGGCACTTTGCTCTTGGCTGGAGCCAGCCTCTGCTCAAAAGAGTAATGGGTGGAAGCATGAGGAGATTGGTAAAACTTGGAGATAGCAGTGATAAGTATCAGAAGGAGCATTTAACTAATGCATTCATTTAACAAATAATTATTAAGTATTTGCTAAGGACCTAGTACTGTGCAGTACTGTGCTGGGTACTTCAGTTACAAATGGAGTGCAAAAGATACCTTATCTGCTCTTCTGGGTCTTATAATCTAGTAGAAAAGACAGGGTGATTTGATTGGAAGGCATACGTTTCAATGAAAGTATCTATCTAAGTAACCTGATGTAGACATAGACTCGGGAGGAATAGAGGATGGTTGATGTCAAGCTTGAGCAGGTGTTCATATGGCCAAGAAAGGAAGGAAAAATGCTCCAACCAAAGGGAACAGCATTTGCAAAGGTGATTGAGTGGTAGTTTACATTGTAGAAGGACACCATAGCTAGAACATTGCAAAGAGGAGAATGGTTTGCCTTGAGGCCAGCACAGTTGATAGAGGCCAGAGCATGTCAGGTTTTATCAGTTGTATTGAAGATTTGGAACACTATGCTAAGAGCAGTTAGAAACCATTACAGGGTTTTAAGCATGGGTTGGATAACCTGCTAAAATTTGTGTTTTTAAAGATCATTGTGATATTCTATAAAGATGAATTTCATGAAAGTCAGAGTTAGAAGATGAATAAAACAATTGTTGAACCAGCATCACAGGTCAGACACGCTGTATACTTTAATTTCTTATGGAGTCAGTCTGCAGAGCCATGTCACTCAGTAGCTGAGTGGAAGAAAGAAGACAGTTAATAATTGGGTTGATCTAGGATTGAGAAAGCAAACCCAGAGTGTCATGGAAGTAAAGGTATTGAGGGTGCTGATAGGAATGTAATTGAAATGATTGACCTTGGGCTTCAGATCTGTTAAGGAAGGTAATATGCCAGAATAAGAATTCTCAAAGGTTTTATTCCCCAGTCACCTATATTTTTTTGACTCTATTGAAATTGACTCTATTGAAATTCTGGATTGATAATTCCTGGCTGAAACTTTTGCAAGATAAAAAAGTAAAGCAAGTATGTTTAAGTTGAATCTATGTAGTATATCTTCAGTAGGAGTCCTTGCCAGGGCCTATAGCTAAAGAAACGAATGAATCATAGCTTCATTCTTTAAGAACTGACAACACATGCCCTGGCCGGTTTGGTTCAGCGGTTGGAGCGTCGGCCTGCGGTACAGAGAGACCCGGGTTCGGTTCCCGCTAAGGGCATGTACTTCAGTTGCAGTTTGTCCCCGGCCCTGGTTGGTCGTGCGGGTGGCAGCCACTCGATGTGTCCCTTCACATCGATGTTTCTCTCTCTCTCTCCCTTCCTCTCTCTCCCTCCCACTCTATCTGTACAAAAAATGGAAAAATATCATTGGGTGAGGATAAAAAAAAAAGAAAAGAAAAGCACAGTCAAGTATTTTTAGTAGTTATATATTTATTTTAATGTATGTTAGAAAATAATACTTAGCATATTATACTTATAATTCATGAACCTTATGATGAGGTTAAGATCAACTTTCAGCTTTTAAAATGAGCCAGTTTAAAGAAAAATATTAAATAACTGCACAGGTGGTACATGAATGACTGAAGTTTAAGAAACTCTAATCTAAATCAAATCTTACATTGTATAGGTGAGAAAACAAAAGGACCCCAAAACACAAAAGTCTTTCTAAGTCTTATAGCTAATATACGTATGTTAGAACTAGGAATAGAACTCAACTCTGCTCAGTACATTCCAGTGTTTATTCTGCAGTTGAGCAGTTTATTATTGTTGAAAGTTGAGGAAGAGACCTCTGTCTTACTAGTGGCATTGCCCTTTAACTCTGTAGTGTGGTGGCCACATATGGCTATTTATATTAAACTTAATTAAAGTTAGTCTGGCCGGTGTGGCTCAGTGGTTGAGCGTCAACCCATGCATTAGGAAGTCACTGGTTCCATTTCCGGTCGGGACACATGCCCAGATTGTGGGCCCGATCCCCAGTGTGGGGCATGCAGGAGGCAGCCAATCGATGTTCTCTCTCTTCGATGTTTCTCTCTCTCTCTCCCTCTCACTTCCCCTCTCTCTAAAATCAATAAAGGAAAAAATTCCATTAAAATTAATTAAAGTTAAATAAAATTTGTACTAGTCACATTTCCTGGGCTCAGTGGCTCACATATAGCTAGTAGCTACCATATTGGACAGATATAGAACATTTCTATCATTGCAGAAAGTTCAGATGGGTATTACTGATCTGAACCATTGTTTAGGAACATGATTCATAACTCCTTAAATTTTACCCCCTCCAAATGGATGATACTTATTAATTTGCTCACAACATTGAAGTTATTTTAACCCTGAGGTTCAATTGAAGGTACTAGTAACAGTGCAGTTAAGATAATTGATCATGGGAAATAAAGCCAGAATGGAGTTCTCTGATTTTTACCAGCTCATCTTATTGGAGGAAGTTCTTTTTCCCTTTTTATCAATAAATATTGTCTTGAATTCATAGCAGATAGAAGAAATATAAATATATTGAAAAACAGAGTACCTGTATAGTGAGTTTCCTGACTTAAAACTTTTCGTTTTTAAACAGATCAGTGAATGGACCTGACTGGACACTTTGAGCACATCAATAAACATGAGTGGTACCAAACCTGATATATTGTGGGCACCACACCAGGTTGATAGATTTGTTGTATGTGACTCAGAACTGAGCCTTTATCATGTGGAATCTACTGTGAATTCAGAACTCAAAGCTGGATCTTTACGTTTATCTGAAGACTCTGCGGCTACATTACTATCAATAAATTCAGATACACCCTATATGAAATGTGTTGCCTGGTATCTCAATTATGATCCTGAATGTCTCCTCGCAGTTGGACAAGCAAATGGTCGAGTTGTACTTACAAGTCTTGGTCAAGATCACAACTCAAAGTTCAAAGACTTGATAGGAAAAGAATTTGTTCCAAAACATGCACGACAATGCAATACTCTGGCATGGAATCCACTGGATAGTAACTGGCTTGCCGCTGGTCTAGATAAACACAGAGCTGATTTTTCAGTGCTGATTTGGGATATCTGCAGCAAATATACTCCTGATATTGTCCCCATGGAGAAAGTGAGACTTTCAGCAGGTGAAACTGAAACAACGTTATTAGTAACAAAACCACTTTATGAATTAGGACAGAATGATGCTTGTCTCTCTCTTTGTTGGCTTCCACGGGACCAGAAACTCCTCCTTGCTGGTATGCATCGTAACCTAGCCATATTTGATCTTCGGAATACAAGCCAAAAGATGTTTGTAAATACAAAAGCTGTTCAGGGGGTGACAGTGGACCCATACTTCCATGATCGTGTTGCTTCCTTCTATGAAGGTCAGGTTGCAATATGGGATCTTAGGAAATTTGAGAAGCCAGTTTTGACTTTAACTGAGCAACCAAAACCCTTAACAAAAGTAGCATGGTGTCCAACTAGGACTGGTCTGCTTGCCACTTTAACAAGGGATAGTAATATTATTAGATTATATGATATGCAGCACACACCTACTCCCATTGGAGATGAAACTGAACCCACAATAATTGAAAGAAGTGTGCAACCTTGTGACAATTACATTGCTTCCTTTGCTTGGCATCCAACAAGTCAAAATCGAATGATAGTTGTAACTCCCAACCGAACAATGTCTGACTTCACTGTTTTTGAGAGGATATCTCTTGCGTGGAGTCCAATTACATCTTTAATGTGGGCTTGTGGTCGTCATTTGTATGAATGTGCGGAAGAAGAAAATGATAATTCTTTAGAAAAAGATATAGCAACAAAGATGCGCCTTCGGGCTTTATCAAGGTACGGGCTTGATACAGAACAGGTGTGGAGAAACCATATTTTAGCTGGAAATGAAGATCTACAGCTTAAGTCACTCTGGTATACTCTGCACTATATCCTTTATGTTGTGAATTTTGAGATGAATCGGGTAGAAATGTCCTTAAAGCTTGCTGAAAGGTCAGTCTGTAAGTATGTTGAATGTCTTATATGCAAATACAAGTTACATAATACTAAAATTACAAAGTAAAGTTTAGAACTGTTGGACTTGAAATACTACTTTGCAGATTATGTAGGAGCAAGCAAGTATAGCTTTACAATAGAGTAGAACCACCTTGCTTGCACTGACGCCTATTATGAATTGGCTCCAAATCAAAGTAAATTTAGCTTTGAAATATTTTATTATGTGTCATTACTAGTATTTCCTATGCATTTAAATACTCATGAAGCAGTATACAGAAGATATGGACCAGAAATCTCCAGGCAACAAAGGATCATTGGTTTATGCAGGAATTAAATCAATTGTAAAATCATCTTTGGGTAAGGAAATTCCATTTTCTGCAGTATGTTCATAATTGTTGTACTTTTATGTTTCCCCATTATTTGTGTATTTCAGGATAGTATACATAAATACTCTCTTTTTGTTTGTTTTGAGTAGATATTTTAGTAAATTGTTGAGTTAAATGCATAATTGTTTTTATATTCAAATATTTTTTACAGGGAATCTTGGTTCTTTGAAGTGGTACTGATTTTCTAAATCTATTCATTCAATTATTATTATTATTTGTTTTTGAAGACCCACTTTGAGAGGCATTACGTTAGATGATATGATCCTCGTTCAAATTTTATTATAGTATTTTGCTTTCATAAAAACTAAATAAATATTTCTAATTAAAGAAGACCCCTTTTTATTTTTGCTGCCTACTTGCACTTACTTAGCTATGTAATGGCAAGGTCTATGTATAACACCAAATATGGCCTTACCTGTAGGACCCTTACCTTGATGATTGAATGAATGTGTGAATTAATGTAGGATTGAAATTGATAAACTATTTAAGAAATAGTTGACAAAAGAGCTAAACTTATTTTTTCACTGATGTCTTTAAAGTTATTTTTATTGGAATTAAACTGTGGGTTATATTATAATCACCTTCCTAACCAAGGATTCTGTATCTAGCCTTTGATAGCCATCAAATTTGGGCCTAATTCAAGCTGCTAGAAAAGTTGTTCACATTATGTAGTCAAAGAGTGGTAGTACAATGAATAAATCCAATTTGGCTTTTAATACGTCTTTCATAAATAACTATACAAATAGTACTAAGTAAAATGCTATTTTTAATAGTAGACTAAGCATTTTAGTTAAACTGTTAGAGTTTATTAAAGGACTTTCAAATTACTTTGGTTCACATTGAAGAGGATGCAGTGGACTACTTTTCTGACCTATTTCATTTTGGTGTTCTTATTAGCTCTCCACCAAAAATAATTTTTATTATAAATAATAAAATGAATGAGTTCAATTTGAAACTTCTACTTTTTATTAATATAAGTAAAAGGGCAGATATACTGTATTACCCCTATCGATGAACCTGGATACCATAGTTCATGATTTTAGAAACACTGCTGCAAAGAATTAAACACCAAGTTTATAGAAATTTTAGTATCTTGTCTAAATAGTAGGTCAAGCCACATTGCGTTTTTAGTTATACTGAGGTATATTATTGTTTTTGTTGTATTTTGATATGTTTTAGGGGAAACCCAAAAATCTACTTCTGAGGAAAAGCAAGAGGAAAGGTGGCATATCTGTGTTTTTGGTGCAGTAGAAACAAACTCAGTATCTTGACTTAAGCTGAGTAGTCTTTACCCAAACTAAAAAACAACTACTGTTGGAAAAATTTCCTCATTGCTAGACTTTCAGCTTTTTTTGTTTGTTTAGTTTATATATTTTTGTTTGGTTTGGTTTTATACTTTGGTTTCATATTTTTGTAATAAGTAGAGAAATGACTGTCAAAGATGGCATTCCTAGGTTTCAGTCTTTTATCTGGCCGTACTCCTTTCTCTAATGGTATCTCTAATAATTTAACACATAGTAAGTTAACACATTGAGCCATCTTGCCCATGGTAATCTAAGCAAGTAGAACACACAGCTGTACTTTAACTTTGGTGACAAATAATATATATTTAATGCTTACTATGAATTAGACATCATGGTAATTGCTTTATTTAATTCTACAACTACAATATGAGGTAAATTTATTTACTCACTCAGAAAATATATCACTTGCTCACTGTGTGCTAAGAATTGTCCTAGGAACTGGAGACGTAACTGTGAACAGGATATCCCTATGGATACTGAACAAGATAGCTAAAACAGGTGGTTATAAAGTGAGGAAGAACAGACAATTATGTGTAGAAGAGTTCCTGACCTGATTGTTGGGACTGACAAGGTTTCCTGGAGGAGATAAAGGCAAAGACAAGGTCCAGACAGGGAACAGCATATGCATGAGCCCTGAGGAGAAGGAACATAGCATATTCAGTATTGCTGGAACAGAACATGAGAGAGAAAGTGAAGAAAGAATGGAGACTAGAAAGGTAAGCCAATGGGTAACTCAGGACTTAGAGGTCATGAAGAATTTAGGGAGATTTATCCTGTAAATCCTGTAAACAAAGATTGTAAAGAGTGGTGACAGGTTTGTGTTTTAGAGTTGTCGTTGTGAGGAATGAATTGAAGAGGATCAGGATTGAAAGCAGGACCTCAGACAGAAGCCACAGTAATCAGGAAATATATGATGGTTCTTACCAATGTCTGTGGCTGAGGAGCTAGAGAAATGTGGATAAATTCGAGATTGGTACAGAATTTAATGACTAATTGGATAATGGGGATGGAGGAGAAGGAAAAGTGAAAAGATAGTACACATGTATTTAGCTTAGGAAACTGGGTCAATACTGGTATCAATAAATTAGATAGGAATAACAGGAAGAACACATTTGAGAAAAGTAAGAATTTATTTTGGCTCTGGCCAGTGTGGCTCAGACTGGTTGAGTATCGCCCCATGCACCGAAAGGTCACCAGATAGATTCCTGGTCAGGGCACATACCCAGGTTGAGGGTTCAATCCCTGGTTGGAGTGTGTATGGGAGGCAACCAATGATGTAACTCACATCAATGTTTTTCCCTTTCTCAAATAAAATTTAAAAACATTTAAAAATACTAATTTATTTTGGAATAAGTCGAATTTGAGACAACGAGGTGGAGATGTCCAGTGGGCAAGGAATTTAGAGTAGGTTAAAGAAGTAAGTCATCCATTTTACACAATTTAAGAAATTTGACTATATGAAGGAGGATAAAAATATGTACAGTAGTAGCATGTGATTTTGGGGTCAAGAGATAACATTTATATTGCTTTATTTTTGTTTTGAACATGGAATTAATTTAAGCATGTTTAAATGCTAATGTGAAAAAGTCCATAGAAAGAGGTTGAAGATGGAGAGGAAAGGAGGTGAGGAGCAAAATTCCTAGAAACGGGGGGAAAGAGATCCAGAGCTTCAGACAGGAGGATGTGCACCTTCTCCGTATTAGCCAGAGGGGAAGGGAAAGGTGTGCTGTTTGTTTAAGGTTCAGTGACCAGAGCTGAGGGTTTTCCCACCTGATCGCTCCTGTTTTCTCAATGGAGTAGGTTTGCTTGTTGAGAAAGAACAGGGAGGTTGTCTAGAGAAGATGGGGAGAAGGTTGTCTTGAGAAACATGGGAAGATTGTGGGGAAATGTTGTTTTGCCAGAGGAAAAAATAAAGGACGGGGCAAGAGAATTAAGTAAGGATACTGGCAAGAGAATGACTCATTTGTTGAACCTTGGGGTCTAGCTTGAATAGGGAGGAAAAGACTGATAAGTAAAAATATGGGTGGAAAAGAGAGTATGAGTTTGAAGAAGATGGAAATGGGATTTCCGGAAGGCTTTGAGGTTGTGGTTAGACAGTGGCTCCTTTAGCCCTGGCCGGATGGCTCAGTTGGTTGGAGCATCGCCCATGCACTGAAAGCTTGCAGGTTCAATTCCTGGTCAGGGTACATACCTAGGTTTCGAGTTCGATCCCGGTTGGGGCAAGTTCAGGAGGCAACCGATTGATGTTTCTCTTTGTTTCTCACTCTCTCCCCCCCTTCCTCTCTCTAAAACAATCAAATCAGTAGAAACACATCTTTGGTTGAGGATTTTTAAAATGTGGCTCTTTTGGAGGAGGAACAGTTTGGAGTGTGGCTATAAAATGGGTAAAGTCTTGGAGTTGTTGACCTGGAGATAAGGAAGCAAAGGATCAAAGAGGCTAGTTTATTGGACGGACTAAGTATTGAAATCATCCAGTATGAGGACAGTGCATAGTCTGAGTGTCTTGTACAGTCCTGTAGAACAGTTTCCACAATGTTCTCAATACGTGTACTTTTTCCTTTTAAGATAGCAGAAAATTGTGTAATAAATTTTGGTCAGCTTTTCACGCAACATGATGAAAATATTTTTCATGCTTAAAGAGTAAACTCTGACCTAGAGAACTTACCTATTCAGAATTACTTGAAGGGGCAAAATAGCTTGGCTTTAGTGTTTTAACAACAAAATATTCTTATAAACACTGGATAATTGTACTGCTTTGCTTTTATATAGATGTAAAAATGCAACAAATTAGTATCTACAAATAGCCAAGTGTCTTATTGCCTGGTGTAGTATTTGAAATAAAAAATAGTTCAATGTTTTTTAATGTTGAAGTGAACTTGTTTCTCTTGCAACTATCAGAGAAATGGTGGTTCTATTATTCATATATAGGGCAATCTCAAATTTAGAGGATATAATTTTTTCATTTAGTATTGTATAACATACATAAATAGATTTTAATTTTTTCAGCTATATATTACATCATATATTTGAAATTAATTTTTTTAAAGTTCATGTACACATTTATTTCCTTTAGTAATAAAGCTCATATTTGTTTAATGGATATTGAGAAAATCCATACATGTTAAAAATGGTAATATGACTTAAAAACCAACAATAGTATCACGTTGCTTTAAAAAAAAATTTTTTTTCTTTATTGATTTTAGAGAAATAGAAAGGGAGAGGGAGAGAGAGAGAAACATCAATGAGAGAGAATGTTGATTGGCCGCCCCCTGCATGCCCCCCACCAAGGATTTGGCCCTGGGCATGTGCCCTGACTAGGAATCGAACCAGCATCCTCTTGGTGTATGGATTGATGCTCAACCACTGAGCCACACCGTCCAGGCTTACATTGCTTATTTGATAACCCTAATTACTTGTAGCATAGATATCAAGCATCTTAAGAATGTCTGAGCAGCATAAATAAGTGACAAAATATTCCACCTCCTAGCAGTGAACTTTTGGGATTCATATATGTTGATCTCTGTTCTGTTTCATGACAAAATTTCTATGAAGTAAAAACTCTTAAGAAACTGGAAACTAAACTGTGAGGAAGCATTTGAAAATTAAATGGCTGTGTTTTTTTGATCTGTTAAAATTGTTATTTTTACCATTAATTAAATGTCAGCATTGAATCCAAAATTTATATAGGGGAGATAAGAAAATAAATACCTTAGTAGAATTACAGCTCTTTCTACCTGAAATGTAATGACTACATTCTATCTAAACAATTTACATTTGGAAAAGTAATGTTTTGTTTAATTTTAACAAGTGTTGTTTTTTAACTTTGTCATTTAATTATTCAAAGTTTTTTCCTAGTTCTTGAAATTCCAGTTTCAGAAGCTAAAAGTGATTTTTTGTCTCAACTGACTTCCATCTTAATTGCTAATAGAGCAGAATGCTTTCCTTATTTTGTGGGCAGAGGGGTCTCTTAAAGGTAGATAACTTCTTTTCAGAAGTCTTTTCCTAACTCATTGACCTGAATAGGCAACAGTTTCCAATAGAAAGGTTAAAAATAAGTAATTTCAAGTGTATTATTTAACTACTTTTTCAATTTCAAAAATATTGCAAATATCTCATCTTGAAACTTTTCCATGGAGTTTGATGGTAAAACTTTCTAGAACATTCAATAATTTGAATTGTAATTAATAGAGTCCTTAAATTTTTTACATATTTGTTTAACCTTTATTTGGCACCAAGTATCTTCCAAGTAAAATTATCCTATCATTAAGATCAGCTGCCTTGATTGTGTGATCTAAATAATGTTACAAGAACTTATTTAGGTTTCTTATGAAAAGAGAATGAGAATCTAAAGTCCCTTTGTTTAAAGTGAGGGGGGAACTTTAAATCTTTCATATAGTATTTTAGCTTTAGTACATACCTTAAGCTTTCAAAGTATTTTGATGTTTATGATTTCATTTTTCCGTATATACATAGAGAGGCAGACAGAAATCGGGGGGAGGAAGGAGAGATAGTGAGCATCTGTTGGATCTCAAGCACTGGGGATACCTTTCAAATAAAACAAGATGCCTGCCCTTTTGGAGCTCATGTTCTAGTAGGAGAAGAAACTAAAAAAAAAAAAAATGAATTTTTTAAAAAGGGGGAACTTACCGTTAGTATTGAAGTAAGTGGCGGAAACAATGGAAAGTTAGATAATAATAACAGATAATGTTTTTACATTAGTTGGCCAGGGAGGCTTCTCTGAAGCAGTGACTCAGCTTAGGCTATCAAGCAATGACTGTTACTCCAATAGCTCTTTTTGATAATACAAGACGCTGTTGTACTTAACAATATGTAGACTATGTTTTGTTTGTGGCATATTTTATATTAATGCTATCATCAAATTGTGGCTGAGCAGTCGAATATTGAAAATCAGACGTTGAAATATTTATCTGTAAAACTAACTTATTTCCAAGTTTATTTCAGAAAAACAATAACTCATAAACAGACAACAATATGATCATTATCAGAGGAAATGGGAGTGGGAGGAGGCAGGAGAGGGTAAATGGGGGATAAATGGCGTTAGAAAGAGACATGACTTGGGCTTATGAACACATAATGCAATATGCAGATAATGTATTATAGAATTGTACACCTGAAACCTATATAATTTTATTAACTAATGTAATCCCAATAAATTCAATAAAAATAATAGTAAATAAGAATGCAGTTAATATAAAAATGTTTCTCATTTTAGGAATGGTGGAAAGCAGCAGACATAATTGGAGTGGATTGGATAAGCAAACTGATATGCAGAATTTAAATGAAGAGAGAATCTTAGCTTTACAGCTTTGTGGGTGGATAAAGAAAGGGACAGATGTAGATGTGGGGCCATTTTTGAACTCCCTGGTACAAGAAGGGGAATGGGAGAGAGCTGCTGCTGTGGCATTGTTTAATTTGGATATTCGACGAGCAATCCAAATCCTGAATGAAGGGGCATCTTCAGAAAAAGGTATTGGGTTATATTCTAAGATACTTGAAGTTCCCAGATTCCTTTAAAGAAAAGATACTGATAATTTTCAAAGATCTAATCATTTAATATTTTCATGTAAATTTTTTTAAGAGAAATTAACACTACTGTTTTTATAAATATTAGCTCATCCCTTTTGTTTATACCTTGGTTTAAGTCTGTAAAAAAAAAAGTGTCTTAATTATCATTTAAGGCATGCTCAAATGTGTCCATTTTCAATGTTTTTTCTTTAAAAAATTTTTTTTTCTTTATTGATATTAGAAGAAGGGAGAGGGAGAGAATGATAGAAACATAGATGAGAGAGGACATTGATTGGCCACATTCTGCATGTCCCACACTGGGGATCAGGCCCACAGTCTGGGCATGTGCCCCCCGACCAGGAGTCGAACTGGTGACCTCTAGGTGCATGGGTCACTGCCCAACCAACCACTGTGCCACACTGGCCAGGTGAAAGTATTTTCTTTTAAAGATAGTTCGCATACATTTTAAAAACTTATTTTCTTGGAGATTAAGACTAATTTAGTTTGCAAGCATTTTTACGGTGAACATTTGAGTGTATTTTATTTTATACTTTATTTTTTAATAGTTATTGGTTGACGTTTAGGAAACTACACATTTTTAGTTAAACTAATAGATATTCTTATAAAAATGATATTTTGATTTGCAGAAGTTTTTCTACTTGAATCTGGTGATTTAAACACAGTTTCCATTTAATATTTTTTAGAAAGGAATAAATAGCAAAATGTGATAAAGTTTTTTTTTTATCCTCACCCGAGGACATTTTTCCACTTTTTGTTCAGATAGAGTGGGAGGGAGAGAGAGGAAGAGAGAGAGAAAGAGAAACATCGACGTGATAGGGACACACAGAGTGGCCGCCACCCGCACGACCAACCAGGGCCGGGGACAAACCGCAATCGAGGTACATGCCCTTAGCGGGAACCGAACCCAGGTCTCTCTGGCCCGAAGGCTGACACTAACCGCTGAGCCAAACTGGCCAGGGAGTGATAAAGTTTTTATGTGATAAAGTTGTTACCCTAACATTTTGCAAAAGAATACTCAGAGAAATAAATCTTAATCCAGAAATTCAGTTTTTTTCTTATCGGTTTTCATATAACTTGAAAATACCTAGGATGTATATAGCTATTGATTTTTAATACACTTAGCAAATTATTTTTGAGTATTTAGAATACTTAATTTCTATTTGCTGGTCCATTTAGAAACCATTACAGCTTTGTTGTACCATAGAGAAATTAACTGTAATATATTTACTTGCACTCTAGAAGTTGAAAAAGTTAATGTTTTGTTCAGACTGGCTTCTTTTTCTTCCCTTCTGTTATAATGCAAGTCTTCCCCGTTTGAGATTGCAATACAAGACTTGTGGTACCCTGGCTGGATAGCTCGGTTGGTTAGAGCATTGTCCCGATACACCAAGGTTTTGGTTCGATCCTAGGTCAGGGCACATGCAAGAGGCAACCAGTGAATGCATAAATAAGTGGAACAACAAATCGATGTTTCTCTTTCTCTCTGTTTCAAATCAGTGAATAAAAATAAAATAAAAAGACAGTGACGGGAAAAAAATTGATATTTAAAGCCATTTCTAATTAGAATTTTGCTGCAGCCTGAGAGCATAATACTTTCCTGTCATGTGTACCTAGAATATTTGGTTTTAGATTTGAACACCCCTGTTAGCAATAGGGGAAAGTAGCATTCTAATGATTTTAATATTTTGGTTAAGAACTGAAGGAAAAATTTCTCTTGAATCCAGTATCCCTTTCCATTTGGAAATAAATTGTTCTAAGCAGGATTCACAGAAGATACTCCTTTTTTTTTAGTATAAATTATTAAAGACTTTAAATCTAATTTAATAGCAGGCAGAGAAGCAACACAGTAACTTGGGGAAGCATTTGCAGAAATTAAGAACAAGGCTATTAAGGACATAAGGTGGGAAATCCTGTTTTATTTGAAAAAGAAATAAAATGATTAGGATTAGGAAACAAGGAAGCTGCTATGATAAATATAGAAAGTACTTAAGAGCCCTGGCCAGTTTGGCTCAGCAGTTAGAGTGTCAGCCTGTGGACCAGAGAGGCCTGAGTTCGGTTTCTGCTAAGGGCACGTACCTTGGTTGCAGTTTGTCCCCAGCCCTGGTTAGGGTTGTGTGGGTGGCAGCCACTCGATGTGTCGCTCTCGTGTCGATGTTTCTATCTCTTTCTCCCTCCCACTCTATCTGGAAATAAATGCAAAAATGTCCTCAGGTGAGGATAAAAAATAAATAAGTAAAAAGAAAGTACTTAAGAGTAAAAGTTAAAGGTCAATTTGGTTTTCTCTTTTGATGTTAAACTTGTCAGAAGTCTAGGCAGCCATAGGATTGACTTCTAGGTTAGCAGCTTATCCACAGCCACATAAACTTCTAAGAATAAATGGTTATAAGACTATTAGTAACAAATGCTTTGTTGCAAATGTGTCTAAATACAGTTCTGTGGTAATACTGATAGTTTTGTCTTAGAAAAATTAAAAGTATAATATTATAATTAGAATGCTGAAATATTGGTTTTATACCTTGTCGTTTAAACATACACAAATATGTGCATTATATATTTAGGACTAGGAGAACAAAATGATTTTGAAAATTGCAGTCCCAATATACAGTAATGTTTATATATCAATGCTTTGAACTATCTCAACCAGTGTAAATGAACTTGATGATAAAGTTGGCAGTGATTCTGGTAGGATGGCTTCACTCTCTTCAGTTAGATCCTGAGCAGTAACATACTGTGTAGGAACCTGCCTGAGATGAGGACCTGAGGTACTTGTGCTACACAGTGCTTGCAGTATGGACAAAAGTTTTACAAGAATGGAAATTTTTGCTTGTGGTCCTTTTCAAATTTTTCAGTCTGAATCAAAACCCGTATTCAGGTGGGCCTATTTTTCTGGGGGTAAAATTCACTCTCTGGTCTTTGTTTATGGTTTAAGAACTGAAAGAAGGAGATAGTAAGCTTGGTTGGTTAGCTGGCTGTTTTTAATATGCAGGTGATCTGAATCTCAATGTAGTAGCAATGGCTTTATCGGGTTATACTGATGAGAAGAACTCCCTTTGGAGAGAAATGTGCAGCACTCTACGACTGCAGCTAAACAACCCGTATTTGTGTGTCATGTTTGCATTTCTGACCAGTGAAGCCGGATCTTATGATGGAGTATTGGTAAGCTGATTTCTGTTTCATACGGCTCTCTTTTTAAGGTAGGAGTTTCTAACTTTGTTAAAATTTTCTAATGTCTGTTGCATATAATGTTTTCATTTGATGCATTTTCTATTATTTAAAATAAAGTATCTTAAACAATTTTTGAGCAGCTCTTCTTGAATATGACTGCCAACCTAGAGTTAGTTAGCTGATAGCAAACTGAACTGAACTTTTTAAAATAGTTTTAGTAATATAATTAACAGCCATAGAAGGAATAGGATTTTACCCTTTAGCTTAGGAACTAAGCTCTAGAACACTACAAATATATAAACATAAATTTTATATTGAAATATAATTTTTAAAAGTGTGTGCATGTTCTCATTTTTGTTAAGTAAACCAACACATGATCAACTTGTGATCAGAATGACAGGTCTTGTCTGACTTAGTATTTATCATTCTCAGACACGTTCTAGTATGATCACACTGCTTACAGTGGTTATTTCATTTTTTCATTATTTGGTTATTTCATTGCTATTTTTTTCTCTTCTGCTTTAACCACTTATTACCACAATTACCACATAGGTTCTTTATCACAATGTTGGGAAAGAAAGACTAAAGTGAGGTTTGCTTATCAGTTTTAGTTATTGAGTTTTAAACTTCACATTGGTAAGACAATTTTCTTTGCTGGGATCCTAGTTATTTCTGTTTGACTTTATAGCATTTCTTATAAAATATACATTGTTTGAATAACTGATTTAAATGTTAGTCCCTAAGAATTTATATCGACATGTATTTTATTGAGGTATCTCTTTTTTTAATCCTCACCCGAGGATATTTTTCCATTGATTTTCAGATAGAGTGGAAGGGGCGAAGGGAGGGAGAGAAAAAGAGAAAGACATCGATATGAGAGAGACACATCCATTGGTTGCCTCCCACACAACCCCAACCAGGGATCAAACTGCAACCAAAGTATGTGCCCTTGACTGGAATCGAACCCGCGACTCTTTGGTCCACGGGCTGAAGTTCTAACCGCTGAGCCAAACCGGCCAGGGTTATTGAGGTATCTTAATGAAAAAAAAAATCTTTTTTTCTTTATTGATTTTAGAGAGAGAGGAAGTGAGAGGGAGAGAGAGAGAGAAACATTGATGAGAAAGAACATCAATTGGCCTCCTACTGCATGCCCCCTGCTGGGGATCTGGCCCACAACCTGGGCATGTGCCCTGACTGGGAATCGAGCCAATGACCTTTTGGTGCATGGGTCTACGCTCCACCGCTGAGCCACACTGGCCGGACTCTTTTTTTTTTAATCCTCACCCGAGGACATTTTTTTCCATTTTTTGTTCAGATAGAGTGGGAGGGAGAAAGAGAAAGAGAGAGAAACATCGACGTGAAAGGGACACATCGAGTGGCTGCCACCCGCACGACCAACCAGGGCCGGGGACAAACTGCAACCGAGGTACATGCCCTTAGCGGGAACTGAACCCAGGTCTCTCTGGACCGCAGGCCGACGCTCTAACTGCTGAACCAAACCGGCCAGGGCAACACTGGCCGGACTCTTAATGAAAATTTTAATAAATGTTGTTAGTGTCCATTTTGGCAATTTCTTATTTTATATATTTCGTCCACTATTTCTAATAAATTGCTGTTGAACTGTTCTGATAACTTCAAATTATATCCAAGACTATGTTGGGGTTTTCTTTGTTTTTACTCTTAGTACTCTTTTTTTTATTAAACAAAAGACTTTAAATGTTACATCTTGAAGAAATAAAATGATACTATCAGAAAGTGCTTGAGAATGGTACAGACTAGAAAAAGAAGTGGATTATTCAAATTTTAAGTTGATAGAGAAGTATATTATCTAAATATTAAATTCTGTTTTTTAAACTAAGTGATCTATTATAAATACCCTTATTTTCTTATACCTATGTTTGGGTTATTAGAGGTATCTTTAGTAGGAAGGTCATATTTTTGAACTATTTCAAGAGTGTACTTAATTATACTTTATGTGTAAATAATTATAATTAATGTTCTTTTGAAAAATTATTAAGTTGCAGTAATCCAGTGAAAAGTACTAACTTAGGACATCAAAAGATAAAATTCTGAGTTTTTGCTTTGCCACAGTTACCTTAGCTGGTCAATTAACTTTTGGGGTTTAGTTTTCTCAGCTGTAAAATGGGACATATCATACTTATAAGTCTTTCCAGATAAAAAAAATTTAACACATGAAACTGAATCTAAAAGTTAAATCTAGCTTGTATCAAACACATTCCCTCTTTAGGGCAGAATCCTAAAAAATATTTTATATTTGAGAAAATATATTAAGATAGGTATCAACTAAAGTAGTCTCATGTTTAAAGGAGGAAAATGAACCCTGGCCAGTTTGGCTCAGTGGTTAGAGCTGTCGGCCTGCGGTCCCAAGAGACCTGGGTTTGGTTCCCACTAAGGGCACGTACCTTGGTTGGGTGATGTGGGTGGCAGCCACTCAACATGTCCCTTTCACACTTGATGTTTCTCTCTCTCTTCTCTTTCCCTTCCACTCTATCTGAAGGAAAAAAGTAAAAGAGAAAAATGATAGTTCATAGAATGAATTCAATAGAAATAGGATTGTTTTTCCACCTTTAAACAATGTTTTACTCATCACAAGATTAATTGTACCTTTCCACACTCATAGTAAACATTTTTCAAAATAATGTTTTACAGTATTGACAAGTATACACAAATTTAAGTATTTATCATAATGCTTCTGAAAATTTTGACGCAAACCACTAATAGTATTATACTATAGGCACAAAATTATGTTTTGTTTATTTATAAAGGTATGTTTTAAAACTTAAAACTTTGTATTTAGAAATATGTGTTGATTTTCTTTCTAAATCCTGTACAAGTATAGTCATACTAGTGTATTTGTTGGTAATTCACGGATTTCCTAGACTTGATTAAAACTAGCAGCCAAAGAAAGAGATTTTGTCTCCTCCAAATTAGTTTTTTGTGATGGGAGGACTACATAGCATCTTAAATTTAATAAACTGTATGTCATTACTTATATTTTCTGTTGGAGTTATATAAGACTGAGCTAGAATTTATTTTAACTGAATTGGTCAGTATTTAAAAGGTAAATTTTTACTTTGTAAAGATAATAACTTAAGCAGAGAGTTTCTTGAGAGTACATTAAGAAAGACATTTTGGCTCAGTGGTTAGAGCGTCTGCCCACAGACCAGAGAGTCCCGGGTTCAGTTCCCGTAAAGGGCGCGTACCTCGGTTGCAGTTCCTCTCTGGCCCCTGATGGGGTCGTGTGGGTGGCAACCAGTCAGTGTGTCTCTCTCACATTGATGTTTCTCTCTCTCTCTCTCTCCCTCTCGCTTTGTCTGAAGTTAAATGCAAAAAAATGTCCTTGGGTAGGGATTAAAAAAAAAAAAAAAGACATCTTAGGTGAAATAAGTCTGACAGAGAAATACAAATACCATATGATTTCACTTACATGTGGAATCTAAAAAACAAAATAAACAAAACAAACTCATACATACAGAGAACAATCTGATGGTTGCCAGATGGGAGAAGGGTTGGGAGGCTGGGTGAAAAAAGTGAAGGGGTTAATGAAATACAAATTGACAGGTACGAAATAGTCACGGGATGTAAGGTACAGCATAGGGAATATAGTCAGTAATATTGTAATAACCATGAATGGTGTCAGGTGGGTATTAGGCTTATGAGGGATCACTTCCTAAAGTATATAAATGTCTAACCACTATGCTGTATGTACACTTGAAACAAAATATTGAATGTCAACCATAATTGAAAAACAATTTTTTTTTAATTTTAAAAAGGCATCTTAGGGATCAGTGGCTCTGCCAATATATACACAATACTTTATTAATATCTTTGAAAATAAAATTGCATTTTATGTATATAAAACAGTCTTAAAATATTTAAAACTGATAGCACCTACAAGTAACTCCTTGCTTTTTCTCTCTCTTCAGTATGAAAACAAAGTTGCTGTACGTGACAGAGTGGCATTCGCTTGTAAGTTCCTTAGCGATAGTCAGGTAAGAACTGATTTAATTTCATGTTTGAAGTAATTAAGATTTATTGTCACTGGATTGAGAAACTAATCTTTATGTGTAAATATGTGTGAGATATATGTAAATTCTTCTAAAAAGTAAATAATCTCTTTATTAGATTAAGAGGTTATAGCCCTGGCCGGTTTGGCTCAGCGGTTAGAGCGCCGGCCTGCGGTCCTGAGAGACCCAGGTTCGGTTCCCGCTAAGGGCACGTACCTCAGTTGCAGTTTGTCCCCGGCCCTGGTCGGTTGTGTGGGTGGCAGCCACTCGATGTGTTCCTTTCACATCGATGTTCTCTCTCTCTGTTCCTCTCTCCCTCCCACTCTACCTGAACAAAAAATGGAAAAATGTCCTCGGGTGAGGATTAAAAAAAAAAAAAAAAAGAGGTTATAAATATTTATCATAACTAAATTTACTTTTAAAATAATGCTGACTTAATATTTAAGTGTATTTAGTTTATTTGCTTTTGGGAGTAAGATTGGTCAGTAGATAAAGATGTTAAACTCACCTCTTAGGGATACTATAAAAGGATTCCTCTGTTTTTTAATATGATAAGTAGTAGGTACTGAATACATATACTATATATGTAGTGAGAGAGAAGTACACATAAATGACTAGTATTACAGTGTGCTAAGTGCTGTAATAATGAAAAAGTGCTGAGGGGAATATAGAGAAATCTTGGCTAGAGTTTGCGTGGAATGAAGTTTGGGAAGACCTTATAAGAGATGGTTATTTTTAATCTTGAAATTCCCTTTCAAGTGATTCCATGATTCTATTATACCCTACTATAAGAGATAACAAGAACTTCGTGGAATAGTAAGGATGGTTCTCTTTATTTTATTTTTTTTTCCATTTTTTTTTTTTTTTGTTGTTCAGATAGAGCGGGAGGGAGAGAGAGGAAGAGAGAGAGAGAGAAACATCGATGTGAAGGGACACATCGAGTGGCTGCCACCCGCACGACCAACCAGGGCCGGGGACAAACTGCAACCGAGGTACGTGCCCTTAGCGGGAATCAAACCCGGGTCTCTCTGTACCGCAGGCCGACGCTCCAACCGCTGAGCCAAACTGGCCAGGGCAGTTCTCTTTAAATTTATAATAGTAAACCCTCTACAGTTCTTTTATAGAATAATTATCAGACATGCAGATAAATGCCTTGCCTTTTTAAAGAACGTTTTAAATGATCCTGAATGCTGCACTGTAAGTATATTAGGTGCAAAGACTCTTAGAGATGATAGATATAGATTTTTTAAAGGATTTTGTTTTAAGAATAAAATTATTTTATATGTAGAAGTTTGAGAGGACAAGAGATATAGTGAAATTAATTGCTTCAGAAAAATCACTTTGAATTTTCCAGTTAAATAGATACATCGAAAAATTGACCAATGAAATGAAAGAGGCTGGAAATTTGGAAGGAATTCTACTTACGGGCCTTACTAAAGATGGAGTGGACTTAATGGAGAGTTATGTCGATAGGACTGGAGATGTCCAAACAGCAAGTTACTGCATGTTACAGGTTAGTGCATTGTGGCAGCAACTTACATAAAAAAGAAATGTTTAACAATGATCTGTATTTTCTTCCCTCATTAAGCGGGTATGCCCTTTGCTTGCTTAGGATCTTTAGAAGGAACTTAGCTTTTACCTAGTCAGTTTATCTACAGAGTATTTGCCTTATCTTACTCTCCCTAAGCTTCCTGCATTGGGTTATCCAGTTTTCCTTTCACTTTAGGAGTGTCAGTCTTGATATTTTTAAATGGATCTGCGAAACCTGTTTAATTTTTCCAAATATTGACACAACTACACTTTCTACAAAAGAGGCTGAAGTTTGCTGGTTGGAACTGTAGTCTCACTTGACATGCAGAAGGCAGATTATACCACAACTCTGTTAACTCATTTTTCCTTTTTATTATCAGTGTACGTGACTTAGGGTAACCAATTGATCTGTTTTCTCTGGTTTTACTGTTCAGTTGTTACAAATAGATTTCTGGAAAGGGTCCCGTCTACTTTACTTTTGGTGAAAATTTAGAGCATTTTGCTGAGATATTCTGTAGCCCTCCAACTAATTTTATCCTTTCTTGGTGTCTCCTTTCCTGTTTACATCTTTTTATACAATGTGATAGTATGCCATGTACTGGGAAAGCATAGTAAAATACTCTCTCCTTCACTCTTCCTTCTCATGAACAAGTGTAGATACCGGCCCATAAACCACAATGTAAATTTACCTTAAGATTTCAGGCCCCTGCCCATGGAAGAAAAGGTGTCCTTCTTTAACATACTCATTATTTTTTTTTTTCTTACTAAATTGGTATTACATCTATTAAATCAAACTGTAGATGTATAGCTACAGAGCGCAAATGGGTTGGTAACCTCTTAAAAAAATTTATAAAATGTATTTGAAATGCAGACAAGTATATAATTGATTGGATCTTGCTTAAAAAAAATTCAGGTCTGATATTCAGCTGCCTTTTTTATTTTTAATCCTCACCTGAGGATGTTTTTTTTTTATTGATTTTCAGATAGAGTGAGGGGGGGCAGAGAGAGAGAGAGAGAGACATCGATGTGAGAGAGATACATCAACTGACTGCCTCCTGCACGACCCTGACCAGGGCAAGGACTGAACCACAACTGAGGTATGTAACTTGACCAGAATCGAACCTTCAACTCTTTGGTCTGCAGCCGATGCTCCAACACTGAGCTAAACAGGCCAGGACAGCTGCCTTTTATTTAATTGGAGTGCTTCCTCTATTTATATTTATATGGTCAAGGTTAAGTCTACCATCTTGCTATTTATTTTCCTTTTTTTTTTCCTTCATTTTGTTTACTGTTCCTTTCCAGCCTTCCCTTAGGCTAATTGAATATTTCAGTGTTTCACTTTATTTTCTCTAGTCGCTTTTTAGCTATACCCCTTTTCATTATCTTTCTTTTTTAAAAAAAAACAGTTGCTTCGGTCTAACAATGCCACACCCTTAACTCATTAGTGAACATTTTACCTCCCCATACTTCACATTCCACACCTGATACATCAGGCTTCCTACTTTCTTTTTCAAACTTCACACCTAACATTTTATGATTTGCTTCATATTTCACGTTTCACAAATGTTACAATAGTATAATTACATTTTCATACTCCTTCCTTTGTCCTATTGTCGTATAATTTACTTCTACATATGTTATAAACTCCAACTTACAGTGTTATTTTGCTTTGAATAGTTAGTTGTCATTTGTGTAAATTATGTGAAGAACAAAAACATGACCTTTTATATTTATTTACTTATTTACCATTCCTGGTACTGTTTAGACCAGTACACTCAAATTTTATCTTGTATCATTTTCCACTGGTCTTTCTCTTTTGCATTTCTAATAGTACAAAGTTACTGGTGACAAATTCTCTGTTTTCATTTAATTTTAAATGAAAATATCCAATTTGTTCTTGCTTTTCTTTCAGCACTTCAAAGATATGGTTTCGTAGTCTTCTGGCTTCCATTGTTTCTGATGAAAAGTCAGCTATTACTCTCTTTGTTTCTCCTATATAATTTTTTTATCTTTTCCTTGGGCTGCTTTCAAGATTTTCTTTTGAATTTTTAGCAGTTTAACATTGATGCCTAATGTGGTTCTTTTTTTCCTGCTTGTGGTTTGCTGCATCTCTTGGATCTGCAAGTCAGTGTTTTTCATCACATTTGGGAAGTTTTCAAGCATTATTTCTTTAAATATTTTGTTCAGCCTCAATCTTATTTTCTTCTTAGACTCTACTATACATATATTAAATATTTATACATTGAATATTATCCTATAGGTATCTGAGCCTCTATTTATTTTTCTTCTATTTTCTCTGCTTTTCAAATCAGATAAATTCTATTCATTTACTCATCGCCTGTCACTTTCTGATGGTAAATTTTCCAGGGAATACTTAATTTCAGTTATTGTACCTTTTAGTTCTAGAATCTTGTTTTATAGTTTACATTTTTTCAGCCCAGATTGTCTATTCACTAATTAAGACACCATTTTTCTTTAAGTCTTCGAACATATGTGTAATAGCTGCATTGAACTCTTTGTCAGCTAACTCTAACATAAGGAATTTTTTAGGTTTAGTTTACATTGACTGCCTTTTTCCATGACGTTGAATCACATTTACCTGTTTCTTCATCTGACTAGTGATTTTTTATTTAGTACTGTATGTTACGTATAGTCATTATAAAGTTCTGGGTTCTTTTACCTTTTTCTGAAGAATTTTGTTAATACTTTAAGAAGTTCAGTTACTTGATGCTTGCTTTGGTCTTACATTTTGCTACTGTGGATCTGTGGAAAGCCCGGGGTATTCTGCAAGCCCTTTTGATTTGGTCACACTTAATCTCTGAACTACTTCCTCTGCAGATGTGGTCAGAGCTTGGTTTTTGGTTTTATAGTGGCAATCTAGAGAAGACTTAATGAGTATGAATTGACCAAATTTTCTCTGTTTAACCTTACTGCCATGGAAGGGGCAAGAGTGGATGTATGAGGATTTCTTTTTAAAAAATGAGTTGTATTCTACTTTAGTACTTAGTTCTAGTCATAATTAAGACTAGAGTAGATGTTTACTTTTTTAAGAAATAAAACTGTCAACTAAGAGTTTTTCACATGTTCCTTTAGCTAAATTCACTCTGATCATTGAAATTACTACGTAATTAATAGGTGAAAGATATGCTCTTTCTATTTTAATGGAATGTATAAAGATAGGTGGTCTTTATTAGTTGTTATAGGTTTCTTTCCATTTTCCATAAGTAGGATACATGCTAAATTCTAACATTTTAGTTTTCTATCAGGCTCTCAAATAGAACTGGGGAAACTGGGCTTTACATCGATGCCCAGGGCATTATTGGAGGTAGAGAGTTATTCTGCTTTTGTCCTAAGTTAAGGAAGATATATGTTGGACAGGGCTATAAGCATTCTATGAAAACCAAAGCAAGGATAGGTGAAATGTGGAATGTGACAGCTGCCATGGAAAGTGCAACTTTAGGAAAAGTCTTACTGGCAAGAAATTAAAGTTATTAATGAGAAGAAATCTAAAATAAATTTAAGGAAAAGAAATTGTTGCTCTTCACTATGTCTTAGGGGCATAAGAACTAAGGACATTTTTTTCCCATTTTAATTTTTAAGGTAATAAATGTATGTCTTAATTGATGGCAAGAGAGAGAATAGGCAGGTTTAACTTTCAGGTAGCCAGGTATACAAAAGTAGAATCTCAGTTCACAGTACATTGCTAGATACAAAGGACTGGGCTCAGTATTATTTTAAATGTGATTAAGTAGCTTTGGTATATATTTGAATTAGATAGTAAACAGACTTTGTGAACCCAGAGGTTTTAATTGTTGGAGAAAGAGTATTCACATTACTTTTTACTGCATTCAATCAAGAAAGTGAATTGTTTGCTCTTGAGTTTTTAAACATTTACGCTTCCCTGGCCAGGTCTAACGATACACACACACTCACACACACACACACACACACGGGATATATTTCTGTCATTAGTAGAGTCCAGCTTAAAGGAAATTAATAAATTAATAGGGTTTCCAATAATAACTGTATCTATATCCTCATTAGGAGTCAGCTTTTGGCAGAAAGGAGGCCTGTTTGTTCTGTGTGACTCATGCTCACATGTTACCTAGAATCTTCTGGTTGAGGCAGGAAATTCTTAAACAACTCAAATAATTTATGTTTTATTTTTAGGGTTCTCCTTTAGATGTTCTTAAAGATGAAAGAGTTCAGTATTGGATTGAGAATTACAGAAATTTATTAGACGCCTGGAGGTTTTGGCACAAACGAGCTGAATTTGATATTCACAGGAGTAAGTTGGATCCCAGTTCCAAGCCTTTAGCACAGGTAAGAACATTGTTTTGGAGAGAATCACATAACATCTACCTAATAGTCTAGCTGAAAGTAGAAGTGTTTATAGCATGTTACATAGGATATATTTAGAGTTCAATTTAATAAATTAGTATTAGCTCATTCTTTTGCCTATACCGAGTTCCCACTGATGTCTTTGTCCCGAACTGCACTTTGTCCTTGATCTATCTGTTTTTTTGATCCTGCCACTTTCTAATAGTCATTTAAGTGGCTTGAGCTTTAGTTGGAGATAGAGCAAACCTCAGCAGGCCTAGAGGATCTTAGGCAGAACTAAACCAACCCTCGGGCCGTCTGAGGTTTTCAGTATATTTTAAGCCCTTTCAGAATGTAAACTATTCTGTGGTCTAATAAATTTCATTTATGTATTGTTTTTCTGCATAATTTATATGTACTAAAGCAGGTTTTTTTTAAAAACAATATGTACATATATATCTATATGTCTGATTGCACATGGACATTTTAATTTTTTTCTTTTAGCATTAATTTAGAAAATAAATGATCTCATAAAGCACATGACATGAGATCACCATATATTTAAGTTCAGACATTAACTATCAGGTATATCCTCAGTGTGAGCACTGGATGGTGCTGTTCTCTTATTTTAGAAAGTGTGCTTCTATGAAAACAACCTGAGTATTACTAAAATAGCATTACATGATAATATTTGTTACTGATATATATGATAAGTGTTTAAGAGCCTGGGAATTTATTTTAAAGCAGAATGGACAGTTACTATTGCTATCATTCTAAAGTTTTAACTATTTACCATCACAGGATCCTTGACTCCTTCTTAGGAAATGACTGTTTGTTTTTTTTTACAAGAAAATTTTGTTCAGGAGATTATATCATGGAACTTTGGATCAGAAGTCACAGTGGGATATTTTTTAATGTCTCTGAGTCCCTGTTACTTCTAAAATGTTGGTATCTAATGTTACCAAGTCCTTATTATTTCTAAAATGTTGGGCTCTAATGTGGCCAAGTTTTTCTGTATATGTCGGTGGCATTAGGAAAAATATAACTAAACAAAGGTAACAAAAAAGTACTCAGTGAAACTACTAAGTGGAAATCTTAATGAGAGCTAGTCAAACTTAGCAGATAAATGATTTTATAATTCAAAATATTGTTTCAAAATTATTTTAAATTGTTAGGATCAAACTTTCAATTTTTTAAAATTCTATTTATAAAGTTTGCATTATATTTTAACTCCTTTTATTTGCTTTATAGGTGTTTGTGAGTTGCAATTTTTGTGGCAAGTCTATCTCCTACAGTTGTTCAACTGTGCCTCATCAGGGCAGAGGTTTTAGTCAGTATGGTGTCAGTGGCTCGCCAACGAAATCTAAAGTCACAAGTTGCCCTGGCTGTCGAAAACCCCTCCCTCGATGTGCACTTTGTCTCATTAATATGGGAACACCTGTTTCAAGCTGTCCTGGTATGACAATTCTACAATATACTCTTCTGAGCTAAAATTGTTCCTCCATAACTGATCTAATGTTGTAAATAAAAGACATAGTAGCTTGATTTTATATTATTTCTAAGAGCAAGCCCCTTGTTGGCTTTTGTTCCCTAGTTTATAAAATCTACACATTAAAAGTAAAATCTATGTCCATGATATTTCAGGTAATCTCGCTAATTAAAGTGAGAAGAGCTTAAATATTAACTAATCTTATAATTATACCATTTTCTTATTCTTTCTAAAAGGAGTTCTAGCAAATATTATCTTTAAAAGGCAGTGTGCCCTCATCTGTTAATAACTGCCTGTATGTATACAGAGCTCTAGATAGTCTCAAAACACTCGCACAGTTCCTCTTATTTCACCTTCAACATCTACCTAGGAAATACATATAGAAAGTATTAACCTACTTGTAGGTTTTGGTGCTGTTTCTGTTATATTTGTTAGTTACCTAGCAAATAGTATATGTATGTATATGGTCAGAAATATTAGGATTGTTTACTACTTATAGTAAACATACAGAAAAAATTTTGAGAACAGTAGATAATTAAACATAATGTACCCAGTGGCTGGAAATATACCTATTTATATAACTTGAATAAGATACTGTGGCAAAATTTTCAATTAAAAACATTTGAATATTTGGCAAACTTGTATAGTGAATAAAGAACTGGATATGGTGTCAGAATGCCTGTTTAAGTTATAGCTCTGACATTCAGTCTGTGACAGAGTTATGTTAACCCTTTTTCATATAAAGTTTTGGGCTGGGAGTTCCTTTCTAGTTGATGAAATTTTGTAATTCTAGTCTGCAGCTGATTCATTTAAGTAGTCTGCTTTATTGTTACATTAATATCTGTGAAAGAGATTTGCTGGTATCATTGGCTGAGTAGTTATTTTTCAATCTAGATGCCTTTTTTTAAACATATGAAGACAATATGTAATGTTTTCAAATGCACTTGTTTCAATTCAAATTTTAATCAAGGATTTTTATTTTATACATTACATGTTGATCACTTTTTTATGGCCCAATACTAATAAATAGAAAATAATTTTTGTGTGTGCACTGTAACACAGATAGGGATGTATATGTCATGTACTGTGATAAATCAAACATGAGTGAGTCTTCTACCCTGCTTAAGATAACATTGTCTATGCTAGTGCCTTTGATCATTTCTCCCTGCCTAGTCTCACCTCTTTCCTCCTCCCCAGAGGTAAACACTGTCCTAAATTGTGTTATTTAGTCTCTAGCACATCTGTATGGTTTTATCACATGTTTAGTTTTGTCTGTGTTTTAAATTCTTTACAAATGAATCATATGGAATATATCCTTTGACTTGCCTTTTTTGCTCAACACTGGGGTTTGGTTTTTATTTTTTTTAGTGTCAATTATGCTGATGAATATAGCTGTAGTTTATTCATTTTTTGTTGCTATTTAGTATTCTACTCGTGACTATAGCATAGTTTTTCCACTCTGCTATCAATGGACACTTTAGTTTCCAGATTTTTACTATTACGAAGAATGCTACTATGAACATCCTCTAATGTACTTACCTATAAGTAGAATTGCTAAATCATATTGTTTTCTAATGTTTTACTTAGAGTTTTATATTCTGTTCAGGAGAGAGATTGACCTATAACCTTCTTTTCTTTTATTATTTTTTGCATGGATTTGTTAGCAAAGTTATACCAGCTTCATAAAGTGCTTTGGGAAATTTTCTGTCTTCCTATTCTTTGAAAGAGTTTGTATAGGTAAAAATTACCTGTTCCTTCAGTGTTTAGTAGAACTTGCCTGTAAACTGGGTTTGGTATCTTTTTTCTGGGAAGATTTTAAACTACCAGTTATTTCTCTAAAGTTGTTCATTCAGGTTGCTTCTTAGTGGGTTTGATACTTTATATTTTTCAATGTTTAATTAGCTATTAAAAATGTAAGGAAACTCCTGTTATTTGGTATCTTTCCTTCTAACTAGAATACTAGCATTAAATCTACCATTTCAACATGATATATGATTTGTATTTTGAAATAGTTTTAGAAATACCTTTAAAGAAACTTTGAATAAAATGCTGTGATATAATTATTGAAGGTCATTTTCTTTCACCCATAGGAGGATCCAAATCAGATGAAAAAGTAGACTTGAGCAAGGACAAGAAATTAGCACAATTTAACAACTGGTTTACATGGTGTCACAATTGCAGGCATGGTGGGCATGCTGGACATATGCTTAGCTGGTTCAGGTAATCAGCACATTCCTTTTCCATAGACTTAGAGTTAGAGGAGATAAAACAGATGGCCTTTTAAAATACTTCAGGTTTATACCGCTAGAGGGTGAATTTCTTCTTTCCTGTCACCTGAGTTAACTAAGGTGGTGTCAACATTTCTATTATTAGATATTTTTTGTAATCTTATACCATAACATTAAACTTATATAAGAAGTAGTTTAAATATGATGTGTGGGTTAAGTGTATAAACAGCATTATTTAACTTTATTTGAGGAGAGCGGATATGTTTACAGTCTTTCACAATTAACTGAATATCCTATTATATATAGTATGTAGTTGAATTATAAATTAAATGATAGAGTACATATCAAACAGCTATATCAGTTATCTTCTCAGTAAGCTTGTCAGGCATGCGATGGAGACTCTCAAGACCATAGTTAACGTTTACGTTGAGCAGTGCGTGGCCCGGTACTCCTTTTACGTTGCTATAGTTTGTACAGCAGTTTGTCACATTGGCTGTAACTTAAACTCTTAACACATCCCTCTGCCTTCATAACTGTAAATGGATAGCTTGTTATATATTTAGAAAATGAAACTGTTCAAATTTTTAGTAACTTTCTTCCCATGTTCAGCTTGGCAGTCATTTCTAGTTTAATGCTTTTAATGTTTTCTGTCTTTGGGTTTTAATAGCTATATTTTTCCAAGTGCCATTTTGAAAAATTGCATTATAGACATAGGTAGGTATATAGGTAAAGAAATGTACATATGCACCTGTGTATGTGTATATGTGCATATATGAATAATTTCGATTTTTAACTGTTACTCGACCTGTTTGTTAGGGACCATGCCGAGTGCCCTGTGTCCGCGTGCACGTGTAAATGTATGCAGTTGGATACGACCGGGAACCTGGTGCCTGCAGAGACCGTCCAGCCGTGAATGTTACCACCTGAAGAGAAACCTTCAAGTGGGGCGCTTTCGAATAGATGTCCTTCATAGCTCGAAAACATACCTCAGAACAAGTCACTCATGACTTTCCTGTAATGGGAAAATAAATCATTCTATCAAATCAGCAATTTGATGTTTGAGTGATTTTGATGTGCTTCACAGAGACAAATGCTGCTGAGATGGACATCAGAGTGTGGGCGTGAATTCTATTGAACAGGTTGAAAAAGTTCATTTTGGAACAACTTTGTAGGGTTTTTTCGAAGTTATAAACTTTGCAAGCAGTTTCTGGAATAGCCAGAAACAGACCATGAGCCTGTATCTTCTAAGCTGAAAGTGGATATCTTTCAGTAAAAGCGGTACACTTTGAAAATAGAATAAAATGATCAATTCAGTGACTCAGATGATAGTTTAAGCTCATCCATGCTTAGATTTCTTTCAGATAAAATTAAATGATGGATTTTTACTTTTAGAATTGGAGAGCTTCTACCCCACACTGGAGAATAAGAGTTGTCAAGGTATGGTTGAGATATATATATATATATATGTTGTTGTTTTTTTAAGGAGTTTTTTTCCTTGTACACTTTCATTTTAGGGTAAGAAATCTTTTGGCACAGACCATTATTGTCTTCCTAGAAAAGCCAGAATGAAGAATGTATCTTATAAGTTTTCTCTTCTGAAGAGAAAAATATTCATCATTTCAGGGGAACATGTTATAAAATTTTCAGTTTCTGCCTTTTGCTTATCAATGTCCTGATTTGTTTTTAAAGATTTCTCTCCCTGTTAATTCTCATCATCTGGGAGCATTTTACTGAACACAAAGTGTGCAGGATTATATGTGAGCAACGATCAGCAATCCATGTCAGTATGTCCTGCTGTCAGATTCCCTCCTGCTTTACAATACCCTGTTTCTTCTAAGGTAAACTGGGAGATGTTGGTGGGGGTGGAGCGACAGGGTCACTTTGGAGACAATTTTACTTAACATGTAAGTTGCTAAAAGTAATTGTATTTGGGTTAATTTGGGACCTTTATTTTAAATTTTTTTTTTTCCCCTTTTCACAGCTACATAGTTTGAAGAGCAATGTAAAGGATTTGTAGCACGCTTCTCTGTCATGTGATTATGCAGAGCACCGAGATGATTGCGATAGTTGAAGTTGTATTAAAAAAATAAAAGCAAAGTAACCCTGAAACTTAATTGTTTTATGGATTTTGGAAAAATATCTTAAATTTTAAGAGCGTTCATGTTAGCAGTTTAATCTGATGAAATGAAGATCTATTGCATTAGTTTGAGGTGTGACCTAAATACTAAACAAAGGTGAATTAAAATATTATTTTACTTTGAGATATGATACAAAAGGTCCCTTTCTAGGCAAACATTGCATATCTACTGTAAATGTCTGCCTAGATGATGACAATCTACTTTTAAAATGAAAAATTGGGTATAGTTTAGTGTGTGTGTGTGTGTGTGTGTGTGTGTATTTTTTAACTAAGATTGCTATTAAGGGGACTTTTTCCAGTCTTCTTTTAAGTAAATCTTCCAGATTTCACTTTACTAAAACATAGGCTTTACCTCTGAAATTGCTTCAATTGCAGTGTCCCTTTCAAATATACTGTGTCCTAAATATGAAAAGTCAGCTTTAAGTAATGTCACACTATCTTGTACATTTTAACTTCTAGCTCAAGTAAAATTGTTGAATGTATATTTAGAATAGGGTTATAGCTAAAATATTTATAATTTTTGGAAATACAGTATAATACAAAGTCTAGTATGTAAATAATCTGCTTGTTATCATATAGGTGACATTTCTAAGACTGTTTATGCCTATGTGTCAATTTTCTGATATTTTCAGTGAAGCCCAAATGTTCCTATAAGATGTCTATTGTTTGTGTTGGATTTCAGTGTATGTGGACCATGAAAATAAATTAAAATTATTTTTCTGTTTTTACTAGGTCATGGGTTTTTAAGTTTATAAACTCAACAAGATATTTTACCTAAACATGTTCAATGCAGGTGTTTAATAAGTGTTTTTATTGTTTTTTAAAAAATTCAATAAATCTGGGTTGAAGTTATCATGTCTGATCTAGAAATCATCTATGACTCCTCTATAAATAATTCAATAAAGTAATATTAGTACTTAATTTGATGACAGTTTTGATACTTAATCTTAGAATTAACTTTCTTTTAGGCTGTTTTTCAGTTTACTATGCTTTCCAGAGTGGTGGTTCTTTAAAATCATCTATTCAAAAAGTAACTTTCCATTCTCAATGCTACACCTGGTAAGTATTAGACTTAGAAAGAATATAGTTCTGCATTTAATTGCATGGCTAACTTTAATTTCAGTCCTTCAGTTGACTACAAATATTAAAAGTATGGGCTTTGAAATTTAAATGGTAATCTTAGCCTTAGTATTGTGGCCAAGTGACTTGACTGTTTTGATCTTCAATTTCCTCATATGTTAAAAGCCAGGTACAGAAATACCTACCTGCTTCATAGGGTGATGGGAGTGTTAGGTGATGAAATAAAGTGCTATATCCCTGTCACATAGTAAGTGCTCTGTAAAAGGTAGTTTTTAACCATCATTGTTACCTTAATCTTTATTGGTTACTTGTGTGTCAGTACTTTTTAAATGAATCTAGTATAATCTGGATAAATTGTGGCATTTTCTTTGGAGATAGGACTTAGCTACTTTTGTTTATCTTACATTTAGAATATTACTTTTTGCTGTATGAAATCCTTTGAATAAGTATCTAGGAGTTTAATGTGATACAAGAGTGAACACAGGAATGAAAATTACAAGTTTGGCAAATCTGGACTTTTGTCCAGATTTAAAATTTGAGATTTTCTTATCTCTGTTCAACTTTTAAATCCTAGTCTTAATGGGAGAAAAGTATCTGCTATTATCTGTAATCTTTCCTTTTCTGTGATTTTATTACACTTGATGTTCATTTAAGTTAACATGTTGGGGTGGTAGTGGTAATAAAAAAGGTACACTGGGAGATTTGTTCTCCCTTGGGATAGCCATAGTTAAAGCAAGTGGGCACTAATTAGTTGTATATGTCTAACTGCTGAGAAAAAAGCATAAGAGAAGTGGAAGAGACGTGTTACATGTTAGTTCAGCATCCTCACATTCATACTGAGTACTTATGACCCACAGAGCCATGGCAGAGGTGGGGCTAGCCAGACAGCTGTCCACGTATTCAGTCCTTTTAACTCCTTCCATTGCATCATCTGCGTGTTTTCCCTCCTATCCCTAAATCTTATAAGTTACTTTGCTAATTATGAAAAGCAGCACTTTACAAAAATACTATTTTTATAAAATATAAATGATTCTGCCCTGGCTGGTTTGGCTCAGCAGTTAGAACATTGGCTTGTGGACCAAGAGACCTGGGTTCAGTTCCTACTAAGGGCCCGTACCTCAGTTGCACTTTGTCCCTGGCCCCGGTTGGGGTCATGTGGGTGGCAACCACTCGATGTGTCTCTCTCACATCGATGTTTCTGTCTTCCTCTCTCTCTCCCTCCCACTCTATCTGAAGATAAATGCAAAAACAAAATGTCCTCAGATAAGGATAAAATAATAATATAAAATATATATATATATATATATAAATGATTCCCAAGTAAAGAGAAGGAAAAAAGCTAACATAACCCACATGTCAAATTATTAGATCACCAAAACAAGGAACTGGTTTCACTTAGGGATGTACATTATAAATTCATAAGTAAAATAAATATCAAATATAACCATATTAATGAGAAGTAATTACTGTTGGTGCTTATTATGTGCCAGGTACCATGCACATTAGCCTCTTTCATCCTCACAGTAGCTCTATAAGCAGGTAGACTTACTGTGTTCATTCTGTACATGAGGCAATTATGGTGTAGGGACATTAGGTCACTGGTCCAAGTTACATAGCTGGTGAAAGTAGAGCCAAGATTTAGACTTCAGTAGTCTGATTTCCCAATCTGTACTTTTAAATTATGTTTTTACTGATTTTTTAGAGAGAGAGAGATCAATCAGCTGCATCCTACAGGCCCCTCACGGGATCCAGCCTACAACCTGATCTAACCAGGACCTCAGTCCATGGGATGACGTGCAGTCCACTGAACCACACCAACCGGGCACCAATATGTATTTTTAATTACTATTTATACTTCATTGTGGGCCTTTATGGGCTGTGTATGAGAATAATCCATTATGACGAAGGGGCTTATTGTATTTGGTATTATGTCAAAAGAGGAAAACTGTCAGTAGCTCTTTGTATATAAAAGGCACTTGATAAAATTTTTAAAATTGACTCAGTTTGGTTTTGAAATTTAGTTTTTATCATGCAAGGGAAATGTTTTTTTCTTCATTTTTTTTCCTTCCTAATGTACTATCTAAAACAGTTGGCATCATGCCTAATTCTAGAATCCTTCCCACTACAGTCACAGAAATGAATAAAACGAGGATCCTGTTGTTACCTCCAGTTCTGCATATAGCAGTTCAGAAGAGGAAAGTGAAACGAGGCACACCCTTGCTTCTTTGTCAAGTCCTTCAAATTTAATATGGGAAAATACCATAAACATTTAAAAGGCAAGCAAACTGCCCTGGCCAGTTTGGCTCAGCGGTAGAGCATCAGCCACAGACCAATAATGAGTCTCTGGTTTGATTCTGTTCAAGGGCACGTACCTCAGTTGTGGTTCATCCCGGCCCTGGTCAGGGTCTTGCTTGAGGCAGCCAATCGATGTGCCTCTCTCACGTCGATGTTTCTCTCTCTTTCTCTCCCTCTGTCTCCCTTCCACTCTATCTGAAGATAAATGGAAAAATATTCTTAGGTTAGGATTTTTAAAAAAGGAAGCAAACTGATAAACTACAACACGCGTAAAAAATTTAATACCCTTAATTCACAAACAGCATTAAATCCATAAAAGACACAACCAATAGATAGCATTGATCAAGGATTTGTACAGGCAAAATAAATTAAAATGGCCAATCACTATAAACAAATAGTAAATCAGTAACAAAGTAAAGCTGTTTAAAACAATAGGACACTTCAACTGCTTGTGTAGAGCAAAAAAAGAAGAACACTTAGGGGTATGCATTATAGTGTGATGAGTGCCTTGGGGCAGGGGTGGCAGGGTTGGAGGCGGGTATGGGGAGGATAAATGGTGATGGAGAGAGACTTGACTTGGGGTCGTGAACATAAAATACAGTGTGCAGATGATGTGGAATTGTGCACATGAAACCTGTATAATTTTGTTAATCAGTGTGTCACCCTAATAAATTCAATAAAAAGGAAAAAACATATTTTTATTCCTGACAATAAGACAGTGTTTTCAGATACAGCTAGTAATAGCATCTTCCTTTTCTTTCACATTTCTGGGGATCATCCTTACTTGCTTTGTGCTCTCACCCTACAAACATTTTCTTCTTTTCAAGAAAGGAATCAAAATGCAGGAAAGCAGTAGCTACATGTGTTAATGATTATGTGATATCACAATAAAATACCTAGTCTAGTAGTCTTCTCATCAATGCTTCTTTAGATAAGTCAAGACACTTGACCAGAAAGGGCTGCTGTCCGAACAGATTAAATTAAAAGCTGTAGCACAAAAAACTTAACATGATTAATCAGAAAAGGTTTCGCTAGCTGTTAATGCATTTCACCAATCAAGCAACTAAGGGGGGGAAAAAAAATAGTATTCATTTTCATGGATGTAGGAAAAGAACATTCTCAGATACTCTCATCTTGTGAGAGTTAATTATCAGTACAGGTGTTCTTGAGTACAAGGAAGCAATATGTATCAAAAGCCTCAAAAGGGTTCTTACCCTTTGACCTAGAACAGTGGTTCTCAACCTTCCTAATGCCACGACCCTTTAATACAGTTCCTCATGTTGTGGTGACCCCCAACCATAAAATTATTTTTGTTGCTACTTTATTTTGCTACTGTTATGTCTTAGGTAACCCCTATGAAAGGGTCATTCAACCCCCAAAGAGGTCGCAACCCACAGGTTGAGAACCGCTGACCTAAAATATTGGGAATATTTTTTGGAGAGATTGATTGGGTAAGTACACTTGCAAAGATGTATGTTTCTATGAAGTGGTTGATCACAGTATTTATTTAAAAAGTTGGAAACTTTAATATCAAGTAATAAGAGTAAAGAAATTATTGTATACATTCAATGGAATGTCAACTATTCAAATAGTATGTTTTGATTAATGAAGATTTGTGATATGTTGATAAATGGAGGGAAAGGCAAGTTGTAAGATAATATGTTGGCATATAAATATATTTGCATGGAACACTGTTGGAGAATGTTTACAAAAATGTTAACAGTGGGATTTTAAGTGACATTTTTCTTTATGTTTATCTGTATCTTCTGGCTTTTCCACAATGGTGAATGTACATATCACATAACACATACTGGCTTTTATAAAAGTTACCCATGAACTGGAATCTTGTTGCCATAATGAACAGTCAGATACTGGGAATTCCGTGAGGTGAGGATACTTGATACAAGATATGAAAATTAGTGTTGTATTCTAATTGTTTGGACAGCATTTTTCTATACTTCATATTCTATAGTAATATAGAAATAAAAAAATGTCCTATTTTAATTATCTCTCTCTTCATATTTGGAAATAGTACATTTTGTTCTCCATTAAAAACATTGGAAGATAGGTCCATTAAAGAATTCTAGTGGTATATAATCAATAACTATTTCAATCTTCTCTCTTTTAGATCTTCCTCATGAGATTTCCTGACTCCTCTGTTTTGGCTCTGGGCCTGTGGCAGGAACCTGTCCTCTGTGTTTAAAATGTAGTTGATTATTGTCCAATCTAGAGTGCATTTTACTCAACCTACTTCCAATAATGTAACAAGTTACTTATGTTTAAGCAGTGAATTCTGAACATGCATGCATGTCCACACGGCTAAGAAACCACCATTTGCATGCCTAGGTGGGCTAGACACTGTCAAAGATTATGATTTCAGAGGATTGATGGCATCCTAGTTGACCTGGACGA